ATCAAAATTAATTCTGTTTTAACTCGTTATAAAAAGCAAAGGCAATCCGTTGTATTTTGAGAATAATAATTGCAAATAGGAAAAACCTTTCGCCGGCAAAGCTGTCGATGGCTCCCTCTTTCAGAAATTGCTTAAAAGCAAACTCATAACAGTTTTTACTTCTTTGATATGTTATTATCAATTTATCATCGAAATGAATGAACGATTCGTACAGGGATTGGCTGTCTCAGCGGTGGAGTCAAGCCTTCGACTTACTGCGCGACAACAACGATAATCCCCCCTGCTCTCATATATAATATAAAAAATTCAATTTTTTTTAAGTGCCTGTTTACTGGTAAGCATGACGACGCAGTGGCACGCATAATTTATTTTTGCTGATATTTTAGTATTAATTTATTTTTTTCTTAATTTTTCCAATAAACTTCACTACTTGGTAATTTTTGGAGGAATTTTTATAATTCTTTTTCGGTCTAATAAGTATTTTAGCAACAAATATCAAAAAAATATCGAATTTGTCAAACTAATCGTGGTTTCGGCAAAAAAAAAAAACGATCAAAAGCATTGAAGAAAAAAAAGTCAGTGGAAAAAAAAAAACTCACTCGTCAGCAATGATTGCTTCATGCGTCTTCGCTTTCGTACGCCACCTGATCGCGAAAGTTTTTGCTCTGCTCGTCGTTGGGCCTTACGTGGTAATGGTTGCCGGATTTTCGTTTTACGTTTTTGAGGTGAAGTAACTCGCCGTTTTCGAACCCTGGTAGTTTTCGGGAGTACGAAAATCTGCAAAGTGTTTTATGCAGGAAAAACGTTAAAAAATAAAATCAGAATAGTTAAATTTTCAAACAGAATATTTAAAATTTCAAAAATTTCTTGCAAGAACATGAAAAAATTAGGATAATTTCAAACACATATAAAAAACTAGAACAGTTTGAATTACAAATATATATAATATAGCGTGTAGCAGAAGCATAATACTGAAAAATCACTATTTTGTTTATCGATAACTAAAATTCTAAAAAAAAGTTCTAGAAAATCCTCCATATTTGAGGACATTATCCGATAAAATCCCGAAATTAGTTTCTTGCTCTGGTTCCGGGTATGCTGCTAGGATGTAAGGACATGTGTACGAAGGCTACAAAAAAAATATTTACAGGCATGATCGGAGCCGCAGCTGCAGTTTCACGACTTCTTGTATGATAAGCGACCACATCAACGGTTTCATCAACTTTTTTCGTAAAAACAGGTGGCGTCATGAATAGTTTGCGTCGCTCACATGACGGATAATAGGTTGTTCGATAAAACTGAGGAACCTATAATTGGTAGAACTGAGTTAAAAGTGATCACTGTCCTGACGGTACTGCTCCTAGATAAACTTCAGAAGCGACCCAACGCTGTAGAAAATAGCCCTGGTTCAAGTACAACCGTCATAGGTAAAAAACCATCCAATTCAAACATTTCTAGGAGTCTCCATGCTGGCAAACTGGTATATGCTGATATCCCGGCACGAAAAAGAATCAAGCTGTTTCCTAGCTAATCATCACCTTTGTCCTCCTATACACAATGGATCAACCGAAGATCACTTTAATACTCCCTTACTTTGTTGCTTTGATAAATCCTTGTTTTTTCGCCATGTTTCTTCTGGATAATTTTGGAGGTAGCTCGGAACTTCTTCAAAGTTTTCGCAATTTCGGAACTCTTTCACTTACACAATTCCATACAGCCGTTCAAGCGGATTCTTCCGCCACACTGCGGTTTTTCCACTGCTCCACTTGCATGAATACAAATCAGGAAATTCGCTTTGTCCATCTGCTACTACTCATTCTTGCTGCATGACCCGCAGCAACTCTGTTTTTTTATGCTTGCTGCCTTGATAATATCGCTTAAATTAGATCGAAAACACAGTACTTCACCGGAAATGTGCTGCAACTTGCTAACATAAAATGTTCCAGAGGAAGTTAGGTCACTGCCAACTTTTTCTCCTCATCAAAAGCGGTATTCCTTGTTTCAATTCCATCGAGAATGTAACTTTTTCGCAGTCGATGTTTGTTAGGTTGCGTGAGCACAATTCAGCAATTCGCTTTGTCCATCTGCTGTTACTCATTCTTGCTGCATGACCCGCAGCAACTCTGTTTTTTGACGTGTACTGCCTTGATAATATCGCTCAAATCAGACCGAAATTCGCAGTACTTCAACGGAAATGTGTTGCAGCTTGCTGGCATAAAACGTCCCACAGCACGCTGGGACGCTGCCAACTGTTCCTCCTCATCAAGGGTGGTATTCCTTATTTCACTTCCACTCGGGAGAACGAATAATCACTTCCACTCAGGAAAACTAATAATATGGAGGAGTTGAGGATGTCTCCTTTGCAGTCGATGCATTGTTAGGATTGGAAAAGACGTCTCGTAATTTACTGAAGGCTATCCATTTTGCCGTTTTTCTTCCATTTAACACCAATCCTGAATCGTTATTCATCTGTACTGCTTGTGTGAAGTGGACATAGCTATTTACAAGCTCAGTGGACTGATTCCTGCGCAGCATTTCGAATTGAAGGCAATATTTTTTTCTTCATTTGCTTGGCATTTTTTTTCACTGATTTCGAGTCCTCAAGTGAAATCCTTCAATTCTTCTATTTCTTCGAAGTGGTTGCAATCCTCCTGGTTTTTCGTTTTGAGAATAACAATGTCGGAGGCGAAAATAAGCGCTGTGGAAAATTTCCCTGATGTTTCAATCTACAAAAAAAATTTTTCAAGTCTCGGAGAACAAATGTGCCAAGCTTCACAGTTCAGCCAATTCTTATTTTTGTACAGTCTTCCAAAAGTATGGTTCTTCTACATATCTCGGTGCGAGAGTCAGTCCTGGTTCCGATACGCATCGTCGAAGACGAGCCTGCAGAAATTTCCCTTTAGAAAAGTAAAATACAACAAAGCGACAAGACAATACACGCATCTTCACCTAGTCGGTAGGGTTTCTTCATCATGGTCCAGGAGTGGGGCCGCTCCAAACATGCATCAAGGACATGTTGGAACAACTAGAGCTTTGTCAGATGCTTCTCTCGGGAGAATCGATGGGGCCAGTAGTCCCCTGCAATCCTAAATACTCGACTTACTTCCCTTGCACTCACTAATTTCTAACAATTCTACTACATATTCCAAACAATTCCACGTTTTACTTTACCTACCGCTCCCACTTACTAACTCACTTTGTCTTCCTTTTCCCTCCATTAATTTACCCATTATAAACCCCTTCCGAAAATCCTGGGGGTCGGAGTCTCGAACCCAATGCGTGCCATGCCTTGATACGACTAACGCTACCAGCTGGCAGCCTCGATACGACTAACGTTCTCCCTTCGGTGGATAATCTGTGCGATGCTGCGGCTCGTTCCACATAAGTGCAGCTTTTGTAAGTAAATAAAACACTGACACTCTTCACTGTCTTCCGCTACTGCA